TCAGGCTACACAATTTTTTATTTTTTTGTGCCCGCCTTTTCGAAGAAAAAATAGCGATATAGAAATGGGCTCCATCTGTATGTCCATCTGTTACACTTTCATGTTTGAAATAACTAAGCACAAAATTAATGTTTGTTACAATAAAATGATGTGTCATACACAACACTCAGACCCCTACCTCCAAGGTTAAGATCACACTTGGTGATTAAAGGTCAACATTGTCTTTAGTGTCTGGTTCATAACTTTTTTATACAGTAAGGGATTTTGAAAATACTTGGCACAAATGTTTGCAAAAATGAGATGACATGTCATGCACAACAGCCGGACCCCATCCTCCAAGGTCAAGGTCACATTTGGGGGTCAAAGTTTATCATGGTCTGTCATAGGGTATATTTTGTGTCCGATCCATAACTTTTCTTCAATTAAGGGATTTTGAAATAACTTGACACAATTGTTTACAATAATAAGACAACCTGAACCCCTGACTCAAAGGTCAAGGTCACACTTTGAGGTCAAAGCATCACATGGTCTGTTGAAGGGTATGATCATAAGCCAATAAAATGGCGAATCGCCCAAATACCTTAATCAATAAAAAAAACTTATGGACAGGACTATGTATGTTGAGGCTTTTACTGTACCCAGAAATTACCTAGAACTTGTCACTTTATACCTCTTTTAAAAAACAGGGTAGAAATTTAGATGATTAAAATGTAAGTTCCTTGATATTGCAATGTAAATAACAACAGTATGGTGAATATTTATTTATGAATAAGTTTTGGCAGTCCTTGTTATTTGAATTTAAATTTCACATTCAGGCAGATTTATTAAACTTTTATGTCTTTATTGCACAAATGGGTATGTGGTGTAACACATAAAATTAAATTACCTGTAAAGATAAAATGGTAAATCCGGGACATTTAAGATTATGACCTATTAAGTTTAACAATTTGGGGAAAGTACCAAAAATTGATAAATTTATTTTTAGATATTAAAAAACAGCACAAAAATACCCCATACTGACACATGTCTTTTAAATATATTTTTAGCTTGACTATATAAAAAGTATTTGGAGAAATGTTCCACTAATGTTCCAAGGTGTTTGTTCTACTCACCCAGGTGTCTGCATCCACATTTCTATTCAAGTTTTTGTGTAGTAAATTATTTTTATGCCACCGCAGCATCTGCAATGCGGTGACATATATAGCAATTCACCTGTTAGCGTTTACAAAGATTATATAGTGAACTTAAAAAATCTTATTCTTAAAAACTACAAGTCTGGTTTCAACAAAACTTGCCAGGATTGTTCCTTTAGTGAAGAGCTTCCAAAGTAATTTAAAGAATTTGATTCCATGCAGAAATCTTGTTACCATGGTAACAAAAAAATAATAGAAAGAAATTTAAAAAAAAATAGTGTGCACAGTAACAGTTTTTTGTATTTGATTTGAACCAATCTTGTACATTTGTTGTAACAGCAGTAGATCAGGACTTGGTAAAGAAAGAAGCAATGTATATTGTAATCTGAATCATCTTATTACAAAATTATGTTGCTTTTATTGGATGATATCAGCCAATTGATAGTCAAACTGTAAACATCACTGATACAAGGAAGTTAAATTCTATATGTTAATGAGATATGGTCAATCTACTTTATGAAAGGTTAATTTATGTCTGTATTAATGGTTTCATTTGCAGAAGATAATTATGTTGACACAATAAAGTGGTTGAAATATTACTTTATCTTAAGTTAGTAACCAACAGGGATGTAGGGCTTCATCTATTTGTTATGATATGAAAAAAAAGAGGCTGAATTTTTTTTTTACATGGCTTATGATGTTGTTTTTTTCCACTTTGAATTTTTGAATTTTTTTAGATTGTTTTGACTCAGTGTAACGTCTGTGCTTGGTTAAACCATTGATTTTTAGCAGTAGTAATAGATAGAAATGTACCTCCATATATAGTCAGGCTAGTTGAGCCATCTGTCAAGACTCCCAAGGGCTGTCAATCCCCGTTGAAAACATCTTTTCAAAAAACTCAGCCCCTGGGGGCCCGGCCAGTTTTTAAGGGTATCTGTCAAAAACTCAGCTCTTTCCCAAATAGTTTAGGGGCCCTTTTGTCAATTTCCAGCTCTTGGGCCCGGCTAGTTGAGCCATTTTTCTAAAAACTTAGCTCTGGGAGGGGTTTGTTGAAGGGCCCCTTTTGTTTTAAAAGTCACTCTGTCAGGGTAGTTGAGCCCAAAACTGTCAATAAATCAAACTCTGGGCCCGGCAGTTGAGGGCCCTCTGTCTACAGTCCCGCTCTGTCAGGGGTAGTTGAACCCTCTTCCCAAAACTAGCTCCCGGGCCCGGTAGTTGAGGGCCCTCTGTCTACAGTCAACCCCCTGTTGGGGTAGTTTTAGCCCTTGTCTACATCATCTCTTTCAGGCTAGTTGAGCCATCTGTCTACAGTCATCTCTGTCAGGCAAGTTGAGCCATCTGTCTACAGTCATCTCTGTCAGGCTAGTTGAGCCATCTGTCTACACTTAGCTCTGTCAGGCTAGTTGAGCCATCTGTCTACAGTCATCTCTGTCAGGCTAGTTGAGACATCTGTCTACAGTCATCTCTGTCAGGCTAGTTGAGCCATCTGTCTACAGTTATCTCTGTCAGGCTAGTTGTGCCATCTGTCTACAGTCAGCTCTGTTAGACTAGTTGAGCCATCTGTCTACACTCAGCTCTGCCAGGCCAGTTGAGACATCTTTCAACACTCAGCTCTACCAGGCTAGTTGAGCCATCTGTCAATACTCAGCTTTGTCAGACTAGTTGAGCTATCTGTATACACTCAACTATGTCAGGCCAGTTGGTACATCTGTCTATAGTTAGCTATGCCAGGTAAGTTGAGCCATAAGTCTAGACTCAGTTCTGTCAGGCCAGTTGAACCATCTGTCTACATTCAGCTTTGTCTGGTCAGTTGAGTCATCTGTATACACTCAGCTCTGTCAGGCTAGTTGTGCCATCTGTCTACACTTAGCTCTATTTGACTAGTTGAGCCATCTGTCTACAGTCATCTCTGTCAGGCTAGTTGTGCCATCTGTCTACACTTAGGTCTATTTTACTAGTTGAGCCATCTGTCTACAGTCATCTCTGTCAGGCTAGTTGTGCCATCTGTCTACAGTCAGCTCTGTTAGACTAGTTGAGCCATCTGTCTACAGTCATCTCTGTCAGGCTAGTTGTGCCATCTGTCTACAGTCAGCTCTGTCAGGCTAGTTGTGCCATCTGTCTACAGTCAGCTCTGTCAGGCTAGTTGTGCCATCTGTCTACACTTAGCTCTATTTGACTAGTTGAGCCAATCTGTCTACAGTCATCTCTGTCAGGCTAGTTCTGCCATCTGTCTACACTTAGCTCTATTTGACTAGTTGAGCCATCTGTCTACAGTCATCTCTGTCAGGCTAGTTGTGCCATCTGTCTACAGTCAGCTCTGTTAGACTAGTTGAGCCATCTGTCTACAGTCATCTCTGTCAGGCTAGTTGTGCCATCTGTCTACAGTCAGCTCTGTCAGGCTAGTTGTGCTATCTGTCTACAGTCATCTCTGTCAGACTAGTTGTGCCATCTGTCTACACTCAGCTGTGTCAGGCTAGGTTAGCCATCTGTCTACAGTCATCTCTGTCAGGCTAGTTGTGACATCTGTCTACACTTAGCTCTATTTGACTAGTTGAGCCTACACACTTAGCTCTGTAAGACTAGTTGAGCCATCTGTCTACAGTCATCTCTGTCAGGCTAGTTGTGACATCTGTCTACAATCAGCTCTATTAGACTAGTTGAGCCTACACACTTAGCTCTGTAAGACTAGTTGAGCCATCTGTCTACAGTCATCTCTGTCAGGCTAGTTGTGGCATCTGTCTACAATCAGCTCTATTAGACTAGTTGAGCCTACACACTTAGCTCTGTAAGACTAGTTGAGCCATCTGTCTACAGTCATCTCTGTCAGGCTAGTTGTGGCATCTGTCTACAATCAGCTCTATTAGACTAGTTGAGCCTACACACTTAGCTCTGTAAGACTAGTTGAGCCATCTGTCTACAGTCATCTCTGTCAGGCTAGTTGTGACATCTGTCTACAATCAGCTCTATTAGACTAGTTGAGCCTACACACTTAGCTCTGTAAGACTAGTTGAGCCATTTGTCTACAGTCAACTCTGTCAGGCTAGTTGTGGCATCTGTCTACTCTCTCCAATTGAGGCTAGTTTGGCATATGTCTACACTCAGCTCTGTCAGGCCAGATGTGCTATTTATCTACTCTCAGTTCTGTTAGGCCAGTTGTGCCATCAGTCTACACTCAGCTCTGTCAGGCCAGATGTGCCATTTATCTACTCTTAGTTCTGTCAGTCCAGTTGTGCCATCTGTTTACACTGACAGAGTTCTATTATGCCAGTAAGGCTCTTTTAGATTGTCAGCTAGAAGTTAGATGTTAGATTGTTAGCAAGTGGTTAAATGCCAGATTGTTAGCTAGTAGTTAAATTTTAGATAATGTTAGCATGTAGTTAAAATAAAGATTGTTAGCTAAGATTTTAGCTGGTAGTTAAATGTTAGATTGTCAGCTGGTAGGTAAAATGTTAGATTGTCAGCTAGAAGTTTAAATTTTAAATTGTTAGCTAGTGGTAATAATTTTAAATTGTTAGCTAGTGGTCATAATTTTAAATTGTTAGCTAGTGGTAATAATATTAAATTGTAAGCTAGTAGTAATAATTTAAATTGTTAGCTAGTTGTTTAAATGTTATATTTACTGATAGCTTAAATATTAAGATTTGTTAAGTGACTGTTTCACTTCCCTAAACATTAATGTTGAAAAAGTGCAAAACTTCCTGATCTGTATCGTAATTTTTGTTTCCATGACAAAGTCACCTATATGAAGATAATACTTTGGTTCTGCTCATGCATGGAGAGGTAGATAAACCAATGTCAACAATTTATATGTAAACTACTAATGTATATATCAGCTTTTTTTTTTCATATCTATGTTTACACGAAAGAGGTTTATTGAAACTGTGTTAAATACGGAAGTTTATTTTCTTTATTGTGTTCATTTTTTTAGATGAAAAAGGTCACTCATAATCTATTTTAGATTATACTGCAGTTAGAGAACAGTTTAGTAAAACTGCCCTTGTGACAGTTAGTGTTGCATGACAACTCTTAAGTGTATTAATTTTCTATTTAATTACCTGGATTTTAATGAAAATGTTTATGTTATTTATAGCAGTGAAGTGTTTACATTGATTGGATACATAGAAATTTATAGGACTACTTGGATGTATTAATTAAAGTTTGTAAGAACGTCTTGAAATTTTTAGTTTCCTGCATAAACAATAACATTTGACGTGTGATGTAAACACTTCTTTGAACTATAAATTTATTACTGAAGAAAGTATTAATTTTGAGAAACAAACTTATAATGGATAAGGAAAGACCAAAAACTTTTTTAAGTCGAGGTAATTCTGAGCCTAATGGGGAACATTTGAAGAAACCTCATACTAGGGTTCACCAGAGGTCAGATCCAGGTCTACAAGGTTCCACTCTATCTCTAATCACAGAAGACTCGGGTCATGAATCAAAGAGCGTGTCAAATCTTTCAAAGACTGTTGGTCACCCACCTGTTCCTGCTATAGTTAGGAATAGACACGGCTCGGACAGTGAGTTTAAGCCTAAAAGACCTATGACACGTGCTACTACTAAAAACTTTGTTTATCTCGATCATCCAGATTACTTGAAAAAAGTTGCAATCTGTGGATATGGTGATACCATCTTCTATGATTTAAATCAGGTGTGTTTAGATTACTCCAACCATAACAGATTCAAAGTTTCATTATGTAATATACTTGTTATATATAGTCTGATTTTATTGACCTGTCAATTATGAATACATTAATTATAGCACTCATTTACATATTCGATCTCACTTCGTTTTTTTTCCGTTTATTTTACTAGAATTAATATGGAGTGTATCACTTACGTTTGGAAAACTCTTACTAGATTAATGTAGGTTCTTGTAACATCCGCAATAGCACAGTCGGTTAAGTGATTACCAAATGCATGAGGGGTCCGATGTTCGATCCCCTTTTTTGACATTCTTTTTAGACTTATTCTTTCTTTATTTTTAAGTATATTTTAATGAAAATGGTCAAGCGCTTGCAATTTGTCTACACGGATATGAACCAACTAAGAAACACTGAATTGTCACATTTTATATTGTATAATTACATTTATTGATTTTAATCGGAATGAATTTTCAGTATTAATTCTTAAACATTGTTATATACAAATGTATAGTATTTACAAAAAGGTGCAAAACATATTAAAACGGAACAACCATAACTATAACTTAAAAAACATGTTGAAAATAGTTATTAATAAAAAATATACTGGACATACTCTGTCTCGATCCTACAACACGTTGAACGTTCAGATAAAATATACCAGTGGTTTACCCTATTGCACTATAACGGTCAGTGTAACTAATTCAAAATAACAAGATGAATTTAATCACATCTTACTGCGCACATCTCACGGAATTTACCGAACATTTATCGAATATTAATACATTCTGTATATTGACCGTATAATCAGTATGGAATTGACAGGTTAATAAAATCAAACAATACTATTGTACAATGTACATGTATATAAGATATTTATATCCAAACTTTTTGTGTTCACACATCCAGTAAATAATTTAAAATTTTGTATTTAGTTTATTTTCTAATCAAATTGCTATTTTAAGTTGAATATTGGCTATGCTGCTGCGGATGTACATTAGGGTAAGACTAGTTTGGATAAGGGTAGCAGTGATTTTTTCAATTTTCAAAACAATCTGTGGCTTTCTGAAGGGGAAAATATTGCGCGATAAATCAGAAAATGGGGGAAATCTTAAATAAAATTCCAGTAACTGAGAATGAAAATTTTAATTCACCCACACATTCTATGAAATTTTCAATTTCAATTCAAATTAACATGCATGGTATTTAGCAGAGGCTATCTATAGGGACATCTTTTTGTCTTCTAGCTATATAAGTCATATGCTGTCAAGTCATGGTTCTGGTGAAAATTTTAAGGGAAAATTTAAGTATTTTTAGAGGAAAATATACTTATTTTAGGTCAGAGGAAACAACCTTTATTGGGCTTTAGAATATAGGGGTAGAATTGGTACAGAGTAGCATATAGGGCTGAAGGATTTAGGGTTAAATTTTAGTGAAATTAGGATAATTATGAGTAGACATTGGAGTTTTGATCTGATAAAACAATGAACTATTAAACTATAGTTAAGTAGCAATGAGCAAATACTAGTTTAACAATATATGTATGGGGGGGGGGGGGGAAACATCAACACCAACATTTAAATATGAAAACAACAAAATGAATGACAATGAGTCAGTGTTCATGTGAAGTTATTATTTCATGGATAGGCTAATGTTTTAATTAATCTGAATTGTTTCCTTCATACTCCTTTATACTTCTATGGGTGTTTTATATGTGGGTGTGTGTAGATTTTCAAAGCTATACTGTAACCCAACGAATATTCGCGACCAATTAATATTCGCTTTATTCGCGGATGGCTATGAAGCGCGAATATTTGTTTGCGCGAATAAGTCCGCACTATTTCGCGAATAAATTGGAGAGAAATTTTTATTTTAGATGTTGTTCATGCAAAGCTACTTGACCTGATATATTCGAATTTTACGGGCACCTGTTAGGAAGTAATGAATTGTTATGAATATTGCCAAAAAGCAATAAATACACAAACTAAGTAAACTACTACTATTTTATATATATCAAAAGAACTCTATGTCAATATACATATACAAACATCCCTGCATTCTGAAGGTTTATGTTTTATCAACCACCCTTTTAACGACATGTTTCGAAATGAAGACGAACGATGCGTACATGTACATATATAGAGAAAATGTTTTGCTAAATTCTGATCACAATTCACTTACCAATACAATATAAGGCTAGCGTATTGTTAATCCCATTTAAGACGCCAATAATGACCACAATTATTGAAGATTAATAGTCGGCTAATGGATTTTACTGCCCCATCGGACTTTCCAATCCGCGAATTTTTTTTTTTCGGAAGACAAGAAAACGCGGAAATTAATATTCGCGAATATGTCCGACCTCGGCAAAACGCGAAAATTTGTATTCGCGAATATAAATTGGGTTACAGTATATTTTATTTTGACAATATTTTTAGAACAAATATCAGGATAAGATTATTTTGCTTTTATATTTTGTATTTTGTTTTCTTATCTATTGAAATACATGTATATAATTTGCAATTTTAGGTTTCTCAAACTTTATAAAAGTTATTCCACCCATATTGCATCCATCGTGTACAGTTCATATAATAATGGCCATTAGTCTCATTATTTAGTTATCAGTGTGTTTTGACAATATTTGGTATTATTTTATGTTATTTTGATGAATGTTTGTTTTTTTGTTCACTGTATAAAAAGTGATAAATTATGTCATGTTTGTGGGTCTATATTTATTTCCTTAAATGAGATAACACTGTTATAGACATATATAACAATGACTAAGCAGATAGGTCTGCCAATCCTAATGTAAGAATAGAATATATATAGAGAGACAATTAAGACAATGCTGATTAATTTCTATAATAACAGAAACACTGATTTGAAAATATATAACTGTGTGTATTATACACAACAATAGATGACAACTGTCTTGATGGGTGCTTGCTGTATTCTTGTGAGCTGAAGATCCAATGCTTGAATTATAGTTTCCATTTGTATGAAAATATATATACAATTTATATGATATCAAAAATGATAAATTCCAGCTATAAAATGTGTCAGAAACTTCAAACAAACAAAATATAGCTACATATCTGGTTTTTTTCTTCATTTTTTTGGATAGTAAAAAAAGGGGAGGGAAAAAACAATCTGAAATCTTTCACAAAGTGTAAGAATCAATATTTACAATTGTTATCTTTTATGATAAAATGATGTTATAAATGACTAGAACTTTGATATAAACATTGATTCATTTAGTAAAGGCTTGAATGTACCTTTACCTTATCATTTCCCACATTGACCTACAATGTCCTTTACCACGCTGGTAAGATTATTATTAAGCTGGTGGTGTTGTCATTTGTTTTGGCAATTTCTCAAAACAGTACAATCTTTATCACTCAGACCTCAAACAGGAATGCAGTGATATAAATTTTAAAAAAAATGCAATCCTAAAATACATTTTGAAACATTTGTAAAAATGTTTAACCTTTGCAAGTTTTATAATTTTACAAATAGTCAGTTTGTTAACAGTGTAAATTTATTTAAGTTATGCAAGTTTAGATGACAGCATAATAATCATAATGAGTATATGAGTCTTTATGGCACCTCAATATGAGCCCTGTCACGACAAAACCAACATAATGGGTTTGCGACCAGCATGGATCCAGACCAGCCTGCGCATCCACGCAGTCTGATCAGGATCCATGCTGTTCGCTTTCAACCCCTATAACAAGTACAGAAACTGATAGCAAACAGCATGGATCCTGATCAGACTGCGCGGATGCGCAGCCTGGCTGGTTTCATGCTGGTCGCAAACCCATTATGTTGGTTTTGTCGTGACAGGGCTCATATTGAGGTGCCATAAACACTATTAATATAAGTACAGTTTCATTATGATAATCCTTAATATTCACAATGAACATTCTAGATTGAATACAGGACATGTCCATGAAAGTCATCATGGGTAATCAGGTAGCTGAGAATATGGAATTTTTGAGAGTAAGACAAAAAAACCCTGACCTGCATGAAGCAAAAGTGATTAGCCTCCCAGTTTGCCACCGTTTTAAAGCCTGACAAGTCCAGACATCCGTACAGTCTGACCATGGTCTTGATGCTGTTGGTACATGTAGCTCAAATTTTGTATTCTGATATAGAAATCTGTTCAAATTGGAATGGAGTGTTCCAAATATCCTTAAAACAAACTCGACTATTGCAGTCCAAAAACAAATAATAAATTAGTAACTAATATACATGACTGTGTAGTTCATGAAAAGTTTGTTAAAAAAAGATTTACCCCTTAGTCAACCATGTGTACAGAAAGTTTGAATTATTGTTTAGACTCAGAGTATAAACAAGTATTGACCCAGAAGTAAAATACAACAACCAAAAAAAAACCAAAAACAAACAATAAATTATATGAGACAGTGACTGTGTAATATATTGTTTAATTTATAAGCTAATTATTAACAGTGGCTGATACTTTCTGTTTTCAGAACCGCCCACTAGCCGCTATAGTACAGGATATATGTGACAAGTAAGTTTTATTTTATATTCACTTTAATTTCCATTGGTTGCCAGTAACAGTGGTCGTCTAGTTAAGTGTTGCAAGTCAGCCTCTTAAATCCAAGGCTTACCAGTGTTATGTTGTCATAAAAATTGTTGAAGCCTGGCTGCCAGGGCTAAAGCTGTGAGGGATGTAGCATTCTCCATTATCCTTCATAATACAGTGTCAATCATGGTCTGTAACTTTCATTTCCCATTCCAATAATTGGTTGTCTTAAATGACTCAGTCATTTAAACTGACCGATATCTATATTTGGCAAGAGTTGAAAATCATGACATACATTAGTTTATGTTTCTTAAGTATTCACTTTAAAATGCACATTTAATACACTGGTTACATGTATTAATATGTATTTATGGTAAGTATGCCATTGTAACATTATAACTTGAAATATTTTTATCCCTGGTTGAAGGTGTCACATATCATAGATTTAAACTTCCTCAATTTATTGTCAGTATTTTAGATACCTGGTGAAGAAGACATCGAGACAGATTTAAAATATATCAATTTAATTGTTGAAGGTTTGAATAGCTGACATGTAGACATTTTATCATGTAAATTAATATGTTCAAAACAGATTTGTAAAGAAGCACAAAAGACCTTTTCATTTCATGTTGATTTCAAACACATTACGATTATTGAGATATGTTGAATTTTTGTTGTTAATGTTACATAATTATTATGGGTTCAATAAGTTGCATTTTAACCATTTTGATTATTCAATTTGCAGATAAATGCTTTTAGCATAATAATGTTCTAATATGTTTCTTTAAATTCATTAAGTACATTGTAAGGACTATTACATGAACTGTCTAAATATAATTTTCTCTGTCTAGACGGCTCTTTTTATCATTTGTCTGATCTGTATAACTGTCATTTATTAGGAAGTTTCCAATGTAAAAGTTTAAAAAAAAAATATGTTTTTAAGTCCACTTGAATCAGCATTTGTCCAAGCTGTAAACTGAATTTTAATATACATGTATATCTATTGTATGATATAATTGTGTGATTACATTACAGATGGACGTTACAAAATGTGGAAGATTATGCACTTCAGTTCTCGGAGCCGAGTCGACAAATATATATCACAGAACATGTATGTCTCAATTATTTTAACTTTTAATCTTTTAATGCATTAAAACTTATTAAAACTTATCAAAATTTTATCAAAATTTTAATGTAATTGAAAAAAATGACCAAAAAAAACCCCAAAACATTTTAAGTTTCAGACAACTGATGAAATGTAACTGTAGCTAGCTATTTTTTGCCTTACTCTAGATACATTTAGGGACAACTTATGATACATTTAGTGACAACTCTAGATACATTAAGGGACAACTCAATATACATTAAGGGACAACTCAATATACATTAAGGGACAAATCAAGATTCATTAAGGGACAAATCAAGATTCATTAAGGGGACAGATCTAGATACATTAAGGGACAACTCTAGATACATAGGGACATAGATACAAGGGACAACTCAATATACATTAAGGGACAACTCAATATACATTAAGGGACAAATCAAGATTCATTTAGGGACAACTCAAGATTCATTAAGGGACAAATCAAGATTCATTAAGAGACAGATCTAGATACATTTAGGGACAACTCTAGATACATTAAGGGACAACTCAATATACATTAAGGGACAACTCAATATACATTAAGGGACAACTCAATATACATTAAGGGACAAATCAAGATTCATGAAGGGGACAACTCAAGATTCATTAAGGGACAACTCTAGATACATTTAGGTACAGATCTAGATACATTAAGGGACAACTCTACATTTAGGGACAGATCTAGATTCATTAAGGGACAACTCTAGATACATTAAGAGACAGATCAAGATACATTTAGGGATAATCAAGATACATTGAGGGGCAACTCGAGATACATTTAAGGACAACTCGAGATACATTTAGGGGCAACTCTAGATACATTTAGGGGCAACTCTAGATACATTTAAGGACAACTCTAAATACATTTAGGGACAGATCTAGATTCATTAAGGGACAACTCTAGAATCATTAAGAGACAGATCAAGATACATTTAGGGATAATCAAGATACATTGAGGGGCAACTCGAGATACATTTAAGGACAACTCGAGATACATTTAGGGACAGATCAAGATACATTGAGGGGCAACTCTAGATACATTTAAGGACAACTCGAGATACATTTAGGGACAACTCTAGATACATTTAGTTTAGTTTCTGGTATGATTGTGTATTAGTTATTATAGCATTAATTCACACTCCTTGAAAAAAAAAATAACTTGTTTGCGTTAATAGTTTTCGTATTTAGAAAATGGTGACAAGAGTGATATATACTTATTTTTTAAAGCAATTATGATTCATTACTGTCCTTTTTCCCAAATGATTCTGATATCTTAAAATATATCTAATGTTTGTACCATTGCTTACTTAGACCAGTACCATTATGAGACAGAACATAATTTCATTTGTTAAATGTGAATGAATCGCTTAAGATTATTTGCAAGATATTATAGATAAACATTCAGCAAGGTTTCATATTTTATATGATATAAAAATATAGTAATAAAATACACTTTTGCCATTGGTAATTTTCTAATTCACCTCAAGTAACAAAAATGTAACAAAAATGTTTATATGTCATAGTTTTCGTCAGATGTATATAAACTTTTTTTTTGTTCAATTTAATAATGGTTTATTAAAATATCTTGAATATGATGACTAGCTATTAAAGGGACACCACTGTGTGTTTTTTTGGACATAAATGGACTGGAAATATTATTTTTTTTAGATTAATTTTCTATTTGATGTAAGTCTAGACCAGTAACCTTGTTTTGCAAAATTTCAGATCATGGGTTCATTCCTATTTTTCAGAATTTTTGTTTTAATTGTGAAAAATCAGGGCTTGAAAAAAAATTTTTGATTTATTTCTGAGTAGATCTATATTTCTTAATTATCTTTGCATATTTTTCTGTTTTAAGTTCCCAAGATGATGTATGTAATCATTCACATTTTATTTCTTTAGGCTTTTGACATGAATGGTGTTCTTTTAAAAAAAAAACAAGTACATGTATCATATTTTTCATACGGCTGATTGTGAACCAGGTTGACTAGTAGTTTGTTGCTTTTGGGAGTGTTGTATTGGTCAAATAGTAAAATTTAGGTTCAAGACAATATCAAAACTAGCATCAATATAATGTACAAGTGATCCATGTCCAACTGGAAAAAATTGGCATTAAAGTCAACAATAAATCAAACTGGTTATGGTTGAACCATTTGCCATTCACTGCTATAGATTGACACAAGTGGGTAAGTTACAAAACTTGTTATTATACTTTAGGACTGCTGCCAGCTTATGTCTGATAATATGTTCAATATATTGTCTTACTCAATATTAAATGAACACATAATAAACACTTTAAAGGGACTCCACTGAGGTAAAAAAAAGAAAAAGCCTAAAGATATAAAATTTGAATTTCTTACAAAGATCAACTGCGGCACTTAGAACAGAAAGATATGCAAAGAACAAGTAAGAAATACACTCAGATTGTATTTGTGTGCTAATCAGCCTAATCTCAATCTGTTTTTAAGTGACACATTTCAATTTTTGGTCATATTTTACAATTATTAAATGATATGGAAATTTTGCACACAAGTTATCAGTCTAGCCCTACATCAAACGGAACATTTATTTATGAAAAAATTATTTTCAGTCCTGTGATGTCAAAAAACGTCAGAGGAGTCCCTTTAATTATCATAGTAGCAGCAATTTTTTGTTTGTTTTATCAATTTTATATACAAATCAAGAGCCAAGTGAGACTTAAACTACATGATAATCGACCTTTGTTAAATGTAGCATTGTTTTATTGACCTTAAGAGTTTTTTTTATGTCAGTCCGTCTGCATTATTGGTTAAAAAGATGAGTCTTTTCCACTTGAGTTACTTAAGTATAAATAAGTTTTCTATACTTCACATTTGATCAAAGTTAAAGTGGATTATTGAGCAGTTCAAATATTTATTTCACATGGCAGAGTAATGATTTTAATACTTATAGTAGGTGTTAAACTGTAGGCAACCACAAGATAAATGACCTTGAATCATTTCCTGAACTGTGACCAAATTCCTATCCCCTAACTGCACAACTAGATTTCATTTCCCTCAGCTATTTTTCATTTACTTCCAACTAGCTTTCCTATCTTAACAGTTTTTCCTGGGCACAAAGCTGTTCTTGAATCCCACCCACTACCACATCCCACTACTTGTTTGATTTGATATTTCACAGAAATGATCTAATGGTTATAATCTACTTAGATGATTGAAATAATTTTTGTTAGTTATAAACATTATAATGAGTTGGGGTCACAAAGGTATGAAAGGAAATCAATGTAAATCTTCTTGGTTAAATCTGTTGGTCAAATTTTGATATGATTGAATAGAAACTTCTTGTAGGTGACTGCATACCAGTGTTGTTTAAGTAATTTTCAATAGTAAGAAAAAGAAAAAGAGAAAAAAAAGGTCCTTAGGGGTTAGGATGTGTTTCACTCTATTCATTAAGAAAAAAACATTGAAAATTTTGTAATAAACTCTGTTAAGCAATATAAGGGCCATCATTGCCCTCTTGTTTATTATTATGACCTTGATATTTGCTTTTATAATTTTTGTATGTGTCAATATTTTCTTACATAATGAGTAATAAGTAATAATAACAGGAAAATACGGTGTCCTTATTGTGCCATTTAGAATGTCGTCCGTCGCGTCTAAGGGTAGACACACGACAATGCGAAGTGACATCGCGACAATGCGAAGCGACGCTCGACAACGCGAAGCGATATGCGACAATGCGAAGCGACGCTCGACAGTGTCAAACGATATGTCGCACTGTCGCCTAGAAATGTCGCGGTAAAAAAGGGCGACATTTAAGAAATGTCGCTTCGCGTTGTCGAGTGTCGCTTCGCATTGTCGAGCGTCGCTTCGCGTTGTCGCGATGTCACTTCGCGTTGTCGCGATGTCACTTCGCGTTGTCGCATTGTCACTTCGCATTGTCGAGTGTCGAGGTTGGTAGAAGTGCATACCACGACACTCGACAATGCGAAACGACAACGCGACAATGCGATACGACGCTCGACAATGCGAAGTGACACTCGACATCGCGAAGCGACATTTTTAAAATGTCGAGTAAATGTCGCGTTATTTTTATGATTTTTACACCGCGACGCTCAACATTGCGAAGCGACACTCGACAATGCGAAGCGACACTCGACAACGCGAAGCGATACTCGACAACGCGAAGCGACACTCGACAATGCGAAGCGACATTTGGAATAATATCGTATCGCATTGTCGTGCGTCTACCGGTGCTTGGTGAGAATTTACTAACTCACCGACAAACGGTGCGATCATGGAAGGGGTCGCACTAAACTGCTGACGAATTAGCTGACGATATAGATATATAGGAAACTGCTGACCAGTTAAATAAAGAAGGATTATCGGAAAATGCTGACCAGTTACACAAAGAAGGGAAACATTGAAGGTGTGAAGTTATATAAACACGCCGTAGGGGGTAATAAAAAGATGGGAAATTACTTTTATTCTTTTAATTATATTTTTAATTTTTGCATTTATATGACTATGTTTATAAACTAAATTAATATATACATTTAAAGTACCATAATATCATACATTTTAACACGGATTTACATTACTACATGTAATATAAATCCGTGATTTTAAAAGGATATATTAAACAGCTTTATATACCTCTAAAGATATGCAAAAATTTGAATTAATGTTTTATAAAGAATTATGATGTTATGAGTTTTATCAAAATCTCTTGTTAGTGATATTTCAATAGAAAAATCTTGTAACGGAAAAAAATGTATTTTCAAAAGCAATAATTGCAATTTGAATTAATATTAAATAAGTCAGCAGTGTTTTAACTTAATTAAATGTCGACAAAATTTTATAAAATATATTGAATTTCGTACATTATAAAATGAATTAAAATTTCACGACAAAATATATTTTTTTCCTATATTTCTAACTGGTCAGCAGTTTCCCTATATATCTTACTGGTCAGCAGATTCTACT